GCCCCAGTGGCTGGAGGCATGGTAGGACCTCCTCCCAGGTCCAGACAGCATCTGTTGCTGGGTGGCGAGTAGCTGCCAGGGAGCATGTGGGGCTAGGGTTGGCAGCTGTGCAGCAGACAACTGCCAGGGCCAGAATGGTGTCCAGTGCCCAGTGGTCATCATCTGTGGCCTGTGCTGCCTGGCCCAGCTGGATGGTATTCTGCTCCTGCAACACCTGCACCTTGGCCTGAAATTGCCAGTTCACCTGCTCCTGCTTCTCCTCATTCCAGTCCTGAACCTCTTCATGCCAGACCTGCGCATCCTTGTGGGCTATGCCCTCCACCCACCAGGCCCCTGCACCCTCTGCACACCCCACTGAGACCACCATCAGCTGCTCAAGAAAGACGGTGCAGTTCATTGTGCACCTCTGGTGGAGCCTGCACATCTGCAGCACCCCAGCTGTGCATGCTGGTGACCCTGAGGCCACATTCCCACTGCCAAGTGTGGCCTCTTACCTGTGTCCAGCTGCAGGACCTGCAGGGCCATGAGACAGAAGCTTTTTGTGAGAGTTTGCAACATTTCAGAGAGAAAATGCTCTGTACCAAGGGCTATGTGCTGCCCGGCCTCAGATCGAGGGCAGGCATGTATGGGTTACCAGGGACCATGGGTAGGCCCAGGCCCAGGCCCAGGCCCAGGCAGGAACTGGCTGGGCCTCCCCAGCCTCACTTAATGCCATCAGGCTTGCAGGCTGCTGGATGCTGGCTGCAGGCAGCCTGCCTCCCCCACTGCATTCCCAGACCGGAACAGGCCAGGCTCTTGGCAACACCTGCTGTCATGGCTCCAGACCCTGCTGCCCACCCCCTCTTGTGGGCCAGCTGCTCTGCTGCACTGCTTTACTGCTGCCCAGTCCATGGCACCTGAGCTCAGATGGCATGGGGCTCCCGGACAACTGGGATGAGGAGCTGGCTGTGCCCCCACCCTACCCACTTGGGGCCTGTCTGGGGAGGTGCCCTGGGGCTAGCCCCCCATTGTGCTGCCACTGCATCCTGAGCATGCCCCTGCTGCATGTGTCCTGGAAGGTGCACAATGAGCTGTTTGTGGGGATTGAGGGGTGGTGTGGCTGATCCTCATGGTACCCTGGGTGCACCTGCGCTCTTGGTATGGGATCATGAGCTATGGCAACACAGAGGGCAAGCCTGGCCTGCCCTGCAACCTCCACCCCTGCCTGGAGGGCTATTTGTGAGTGCGCTACACATCTCTACCCCCACTGCCAAGAAGGACAACGCCATGGCATCAATGCATTCCTCAGTGTGTGAGAGATCCATGCCTGCCTAGGAGCAGGGGCACAGGCTATTCAATAAAGTTCTGAACTGTGTCCTGCCTCTGTGCATCAGGGAATCTGGGGTGAGGGGAGTGTGGCCAGGTCAGGTGGGAAGGGGAGCAGGGGCATGGGGTGGGGGCCCTCTCCCTAGTGCAGGGCTTACCATGTGGCCAGGGGTGGTGTGGCTGGCAACTCCACATGGTTCTGCCTATCGGTGATGGTGTGCAGCTGCAGTTGGTGTCCTCGGACTGTGGGGCATAGCAGTTGGGGAGTTTATGGAATGGGCCACTGGGCTTCTGAGGTGTCCTCCCCTGGTGATGTGTCACTCGGGGTGCCAGCCTGGGGCAGGGGCTCAGGCAGGCCTCCCATACTAGTGTATACTGAACAGCTGAGTCCTGGGACCCAGGGCACAAGAATGGCCATCACTTGCCACATAAAGGGCATGGTCTTGCGGGCACAGCTGGACTGATGATTGTGGTTGGTCATAGTGACCTATTGTGCCCGCAAGTCCTTGACCTTTATGTGGTACTGCTGCACCAACTGGTTGTGCCCTTGTTCCCTCATCCAGCCTGACAGTGCCTCATAAATATGCATGTTGGAGTGCCCACCCTGCCCAAACTGGTGTTGCACCTCTGCCTTGCTTCCCAGGACCATGGGGTTGCCAATCTCCTCCTTGGTTCAGCTGGGGCCCCAGGTGGAAGGCATGGGTGTGGGCATATCCAAAGATGGGGAGGAGGCCATGTTGGGTCCCACACTGGCTCTCTAGGCCCCTGCACAGCTGTCCCTGAGCTGCCAGGCCTGGATAGCTGCCAGCAGTGCCCAGCTCTGGACCATGGCACAAGACAGTTTGCCACACCACAGAGGCAATGCCCCACAACAGCTGTGGGTGCAGGGCAGGCTGCTGGAGGTATGCTGCAGGCAGATGGTGCTGGCCCTGCTGGCCAGAGGCTGCCTGCAGGTGGCCCTGGGGACTGGCAGGCCAAGCCAGAGGCTGCAGCAGCCTGAAGCACCCTGCTGGCCTGGATGGCACTGTCCTGGTAGCTGAGCAGCAGTGTGGTGCCAGACAGCAGTGCTGGGGTGCTGGCAGGTAGGCACAGCTAAGGTGTGGCCTGCCCAGGGGGACATATGGGTTTGCAGTGCCCTCAGGCTCCATGTCTGTGTGCCCCAGGGCTCAAAATGCTTGCAGTCTTTTTTTAAAGCCTGCAGACAGGGACTGCCATAGGGGCAACCTAGCCCTGAGCTAGGAGAGGCTCCTAGTCTGCAGCCCCCTAGTGGCTTGGAACACCCAGGAGTAAACTTGCTCCAGGGTTGCATATACATGTGCGCTACTGTGCAGTAACTAATCCATGTTAAATTTGCTACTTGTAGTTGCAAGTAGCAAATTTAAATGGGATTAAGGGTTTTTACTATGCAGGAAGTGCACGTACATGTAAATGCGCCTGCTTACTGCTCAGTAAAATACGCTAATGCACATTACTGCGTCTCATGTAGATGTGCCCAGCGTGTTACAGATTATAATTATTATTCATTACTCACATTTATGAATACCTAAGTCTCCAAGTGAAATCCAGATCCATTTTGGTAAACCTTGTAAAAGTACAGAGTCAGCAATTTTCTGGAGGGCACACAACAAGTCTGTGGCAGAGTGCAGAATTCAACCGTAAGTCTTCTGAATTCTTGTCTTAGTTCCTCTAACCAGAAGCTCATCCTTTCTCTGTTAAAAATTGTCAAACTTCTATAGCAGTTGTTATTACTTTCTGTTTTAACAAGATGTCAGTGTCTGATATCTCATGACTGTCTGTTTGTGGTGGGTTTTGGTACCACAGTAATAACAATACTTATTTGTTGTGAAGAAAGGACCAAGATGTAAGAGTGACTACACCACAATAGTATCCAGTTCATTTTCTGAGAAATGATTACACATGATTACTGTGGGGATGGAAAAACTGGTTTTGGCAAAATAAGATCTTGAAATGTATCTTTCACCCACACAGAATCAAAATCTTTGTTTGCGTTAAGATAATTTTCTTGAAGTCTTCCATAAATCCAGGCTCTGGGATACTTCATCTTCTTCTTTTCTCTTTAGTCTAATCTCATATCTTTTCTTCATGGATCCTGCCCCTCTTCACTTTTCTAGTACCTTTCCTCATTCCTGACTTTTACTGTTGACTAAAGCTCACATGCTTTCCATGTGTTTCAGTTGCCCAAGCATGTGCATAACTTGCTGATGGACCTAGTTCTCTGGGAGCATACCTACACATGCAATTAACAGGGAGCAATAAATTCTGGCCCATATCATGCTGGAGTTTATTGCTCCCAGGCACTATGTTTGAATGTGCAGCCAGGACTGCAGCACGTTGAGCTGGGTCAGAGCAGCCCTGGGTGGCAGGGGACCAGGAGGTCATCATGCCAGCCTGGAGTTGCTCTGACTCAACTCAACTTGCTGTGGAGGTGCTGGCTGGGGCACGAGGGTACTCCAGTGCGGGCTATCTGGCAGGCAGCCCCCACATTGAAGCACCCTTGTGCCCCAGCCAGCCCCATCAGTGTCTACATATGTGTTGCTATGCATTAAAGAAATCAGCCGTAGGACAGTACTTGTATTTACAAGCACTAACCTGCAGCAGAGTTAATTAGTTTCCTGCGGCCTAATTGGTGTGCATGTGTAGATGCTGATACTTTACTGTGGAGCTAATCATGTAAATGCGCCTTGGGTCAGCTAAGTCACTTGAGCCTCAGAACAAAAAGTTTGCCTTTCATTAGGAAGCCCAGAACCTGCAGTGTGATGCTTCTTTAGTAATCTATTTGAGCAGTAATGAAAATGGATAAATGGATTGCATTTGTAGCTGCAGAATTTAATTCACATTCCCATATTTTCTTCATCTGCCCACAGAACTGTCTTCACTTTATGGTTATTTTTTGACAATGCTAATAATGATTTAAGGGGCTCACAAACCAGGAGAAATGTAAAATATATTCCAGTGTGTATTTTATTTTGTCTGAAATATTTTCCAGTTACACCTTTTCCTTTTTTAGCTGGATTTTTTGAATTACTGTTGTTACAACCCAAGTCTGGAAATTCTGATGATGATTCCTTATCTGATTTCCATGTCTATGGCATGTTTAATTAAATTTTGTGTTTACAAATGGTGAAAGTCAAGAGCATAAGCACATCTCCCATTTGAGATTATATCTTTCAGCACCTAGTTTATAAGTACCCATCAACATGACTTCTCTGTGTGCATTTAAAACCTGACTGTTTGTGTTGTGATGGTAGTTCATTTGAATAAATTACTAAAAGAACATTCATTATCTTTTTTTTTTTATAAAAGAACAAACAATTAAGTACAACACAATAATTAAGTTACTAATTTTACGTTGCTTTTCTCCTACAGGAAGGAGGTGTTGTTGCTCTGTTTAAGACGTGTCGCCAGGATTGTTTCAGGAGCATTTATCCCCAGACGCTCAGAACCTTGGCATCTATATGCTGTGTAGAAGAAGGGATTCACCAGCTAGAAAAGGTATTATTACTTCAATTCTTTTTACATACAGTAATTGTTCTACAAGAATAGTGGAGCTCATCATTAATCTCATCTAGTAGTTGAGAATATTTGGATTCACCGTGTTTGAAAACTTGCTCTGTACTCCTCTCAGGTTTCCCACAATGAGTACATTTTCAGTGTTTACAATATTAGTTCAGACAATAACATTATCCTATTCAGTTGTCTGTACAAACAATCTCTTTAAGTGGAAATCATTTCCATAAAGGAAATAGAGTTAGTAATGAATGTATCAAATAACTAGTGGAGTAATTATTTCTGGACTTGTTAAAGTTTTTGTTTAGAATTTCCAGTATTCCAAGCAATCAAAACCCTTGAAATGTGGAAAGGTTTATACCTGTTTGAACCCTTTATCTGACATCCCTGCAATACAGCTGTCCATGGTAATGAGATGACATGCAAGGGGTATAATTGCATAAGTACTGAGACAGATGTAATAGCTGAACATTAGAAAAGGTTTCCACCCATCAGCAATAAGTCTTGCAGAAGACAATTTTAACACTAATAGCTAACATCAAAACATTATCCCATGAAATTATTTAGACTGCTTATACTTTATTCTGCCCCCAGTTCCACAATACACTTCTATATTTAGGACAATAAGCACTTCTACTGGTTACTAAATCATGATCTCATCCTTTTCTATTTCATAAAACAGTCGTCTTCTACCATTGAATAATGTACCTCTTCAAGTTAATGGTAAATGATTTTGTTGCTACTTTACATTGACATGTCTTGCAATTTACTGTCCAGAATTCAAGCAAATGTGACAGTACATCTTCAGGAAAAATCCTATAGTTAATGAAGATAACTTCTCCAATTGTTTTTTGAAATAGGTATTGGTTCAGATGGACATAAGAAGAAGTCTTGTGGGTTCCTTAGTTTTGTCCGTCAGAATCATAGGAAAAAATAATTAGAGATGTAAAACACCTTTTAGATATTTTTTTCATTCTCAGGCAAGGTCCAGATATAGTTTGTTGATACAGGACATCAAACTCATAGTAAGTTCAAGAAACAGTAGTAGCCTTTGTGTCTATTTGTCTGTAGGCTGATTTAATGCAAGAAAGGGGCATGTCAGGGAAGGTTGGACAAAATCAACTCTATGCTGGTACTTGAATGATTGTTAGCCAAGGTTCTCACCACTGGCTTCATTAGTTTATTTGTCCACTGTGCCTTTAATTCCTTAATCTGCATTTGATGAAAGGTGCATCTTGTCCCTTAAGGGCTAGTACTGGAGCTGAGAAAGCTAGTCTTTGACCAGTTGACTAAACAACTGGGGCTGGACTCGATGAGGGGGCTGGACTTGATGCCGGGGCTGGACTGGATGATCTCCCAAGGTCCCTTCCAGCCCTAATGTCTATGAAAACTAAGGAGCAGGTGATATGGTCTCTGGCAGAAGCAATTCTTTCCTGAAGAAAAGGAAGACAGTTAAAAAGAGTGAGAGAACTAAAAAAAATTTGGTTAGAGAGTAGAAGTAGACCAACAGTAATGAATATTTAGGCAGGTATGATTCAGTTAACTTGTTCTGATGATGAAAAAAACAGGGCAGTTCACAAAAAAAGGCTTAATTCAGTGATATTTGTGGGTACAAGGATATGAAAGCCTTTGACTGGGTGAGCCAGTTTGGATTTTGGAACTTTTTGTAAAGGCTCCATTGTCGAAGAAAGTCCCTGTCAGTCTTGAGACAGCTCCTTGATGGCATGCATAGTTAGATGGAGTTGCAGACACTCTGAAGGGTAGGGTTCAGATCCAGAATGACCTGGATAGATTAGGAAAAATGGTTCACAATCTCTCAGATAAGATTCAACAAGGACAAGTGCAAAGTTCTGCACCTAGGACTGAAAAATTGCATGCACAAATACAGACTAGGGAATGACTGGCTAGGCTCTAATACTGCAGAGAAGGACCTTGGGGTTACAGTATACCATAAGCTGAATATGAGCCAACAGTGTGCTCTTGTTCCATATTGGGTTGCACCATACTGGGTTGTATTAACAGGAGTGTCACTTGCAAATCAAGGGAAATGATTTTTCTGCTTTTTCAGCATTGGTGAGGCCTCACCTGGAGTACTGTGTCCAGTTTTGGGCCCCGCACTTCAAGAAAGATGTGGACAGTTTGGAAAAAGTCCAATGCAGAGTGACAAAAATGATTAGGGACCTAGGAGGCAAGACTTATGAGGAAAGCCCCAAAGAACTTTACACTAAACTAACTAGGGTTTAGAACTAAATAACTAGGGTTATTTAGCCTGGAGAAAAGAAGACTGAGGTGGGATTTAATAATGGTCTTCAAATACTTGAAGGGTGATTATAGAGGGGATGGAGAAGGGCTTTTTTGTGTCCATGTGGGGACAGGAGTAGGAGCAATGGATTCAAACTGCAGCATGGGAAATTTAGGTTGGAGCTGAGGAGGAACTTTCTGACTATGAGGGTGGTTAGGCATTGGAACAGGCTATCTAGAAAAATTGTGGAACTTCCATCCTTGGAAGTTTTCAAGAACAGGTTAGACACTTAGCTGGGATGGTTTATTTAGAGATGATCCTACCTTGAGCAGGAGGCTGGATTAGATGGCCTCATGAGGTCCCTTTCAGCCCTACTTACCTATGATCTTATGGCAGAGTACAGGTTGATGGAGTCCTAAATGGAGATGCATCATAGGGTTGATCCTTTCTGTGTTATTCTCTAGGCAACCTCAGATTTTTTGATGGGGATTGAGATTTGCTTCCCAGTTGCCATAGGATGGTTTAGCCTGTCCAGACTACATTGGGTCTATACAGGGAACTCCTTTATGCCAGTTGCTGTGTCCTGGTAGTCCACTCCAGGGAAGGTCTTCAGCTGTTGGTAGAAATAGTCTAGCAACTGTTTCACAACTTTCACAACTAGCTGTAGACTAAACAACAGTTTAAGGCAAAACCAAGGGTATAGGTTAGAGAGCCCTGGGAAGATAATAGAGTATCCTTTCCATATTCATTGGTAGAACTGAATGCCAGATTGTTCATGAGATTACCTTCCTTGGAAACATTTTGAACAGTCAGGCTGGCATTGGTTGGTAGCCACAATCTCTTGCATCCAGAAAACAATTGTGGCCTTTGGCAAGTTCATGAAGTGAATATGGAGTCATATAGAAGACATGCCTGTCAGCTGAAGAAATATTATCAGTGATATCTTTGTGCCACTTTGTGCATCTTTGGGTGAGATGACATGATAAGCTGACTGCTGATGAACCCCAAGAACATACTTCAAGAACTTGATTGAGTATAACTGGCTAACATACTTTTGAGATCCCATCCATAAAAATTCAGTGAAGGTGAGGGAAAGTATAGGCCTTTATGAACAACAGTGATGTCTTTGAGGACAAAAACCAGCAAGGTAAAGGATGCATCATCGCTGGCAGTCTGGCTCATGTTAAGTGGCACTGAATTTTGTGAAAGGAGGTGTTTATCATGCAGAGGCCTATGCTGTTATCTGCTTGACCACCAATTCAGACATTGCGCTATACTTCTATTATCCTTGGATCCAAGGATGATGATGAAATCTGGTTATAGTTGAAGAAGTGTAGCAAACTGTAAAAGAGAAAAAAAAATGCTGAATGCATCTGCACATCAGCCAAAATGTGAGAGTAGTCATTTAGCATGCCAGGAGAGGTTCAATTAAATAAATTCCTTTTAATATATATTTCATCCTGTTTGAAGTTTGCTGCTATTATTGAGGATTTATATGTTTTGTGAATTTCGTGACTTGTTCTTGAGGAGATATGTTTCATATATCAGGAGGAGGAGGGAGGCCATGAGTTATGGCAGAGCTGAGGACAGGGGCCAAAGAGTGACTTTGCAACCTCCAGTTGTATAAGGTGATAGGCAGAGGGCATAGCGTTAGCAATGGCTTCAAAGAGCAAAAAACGAAGAGCAGAGACTGAATGTGCGCTGCAGGATCATGCATGACACATGGTACACTAGTTCCTGTATCATGCTGTAACATACGTTCCACAGAGTGCTGGTCCAGCCTTTGCAGTCCCTGTAGTAAAGGGACTAGTAGGGCCATGGCCAATGGACATGTACTGCTCTCTTTGAAATGTCCCAACAGGTGTAGCTCTTTTTGGCTTGCCATTTTGAGAAAGTGAACAATACTCTCCTTGTACCTTTGTACCTGTCATGTATCACACTGCTTTCAAGGTGGACCTCTGCCTTAGGACTCCCCAAGAAGCAGCGTTATTCAGTGTCCCTCTCCTAAAGGATCACCCCTGAAGTAAGTCCTGGTGTGGCTTCTTCAAGGGGGAAGCCTCTGGCTGAAGACCCTGGCTCCTTTTTGTCCTTGGATTCCATGGCAATATGTATCATCTCTGTCTCAGAGAGCTCCTTCTTTGGTCAGCTCACGGGAATGGGGTCATTTTCCTCTTCAAAGTGTATGCATATGTGTGGGGAGCGGGGGTTAGAGTGCTGACATCCCAAACAGCACAGCAGACAGGCAACTGCACTCTAAACAAACAGTCTTTATTGTGCCACTTTGTTTCCACAGTTTCCTTTGTCCTTCCTTGGACTTCACTCTGTCCACCCTGGGAGTACTCTCTTCTCTCTACTCTGTCCTCCCTGGGGCTACCGTTTTTTCCACAGCTCTCTTGGATCCTCTCTTTCTCCTCAGATCCAGTCAGCCACACTTGCAACAACACAGTTACAAAACTATAGTGTTAACCTGGGGACAACACTCACCCCAAATGTTCCCCACCAGAATTGCAGACTACAAATCAGGCTAAGTGGTCACAACCTCCCCCTTGAATACCCACGCAGGAGCAGTCAGAGTTTGAACCAAAGGAGTATGTCCAAAGTATATCATTTTGGATGTCAGGGCATCACCAGATTTTAGAGTACTAGGCTGGCAGGCATGAATCTGTTGACATCTTTTGATTCTGTATGCTTCAAAAAAGTGTACAAAACTTTTTGCGATTTTGAAAAAAAGGGTTGAATGATG